TCTAGTGGTCTTGGTACGTAGTTGCCAGGATACATTTCGAAAAACCCAACGCTTCCCTTCAGGTAGAGAACACTCTTGTCCCTGGATAGATTAAACAGCGTCCCCCGAAGTGGCGGATTGGTGCCAATTCTAAACAGTCGCGTCGAGGATCGAGAAACGGTCGCCAGGTCGACGAGCTCGATGTTTTGATGTTTCGCTGCTCTGAGGATACCGTCTTCTTCTATCGCCGCGTAGTTTGAGGTTTTATGGACAACCAGGCGGGCAGGGTTATGTCGATGCTCTCGACGATATGTGGAAATGGCGTTTACGATCAAATCATATGCATCTTCACTACTTAAGTGAGGTTGCCGGTCAACTTCGGTTTTCTGAGCTTGCGCACCGCGAACAACAATGCCTTCGCCTCGCTCGTTAAAGACTTGAGCAACGCTGGTTAACATTCTGTCTCCGTCGAGACTCTTAAAGAAGCTTATGCCTGCGTAACATGATGCGTACAAAGAAGGGTCGCGAACCAGGCGCCAGGGGATACCCCCAGCTTTATAGTAGAGGGCGGTGAAGAAATTCCATGCTCTTGTGGCTTCATCCTGCAGCGCGACACGGCGGGGAGCTAACTCAGATTTCCTTGCTTGACCTCCGCCATAGGTCGGTGGTCTAACCATTTGAATAGGGACTCCTAAGGACATGCCCCTGGCCTTTAGCAAATCATGGAAAGGAGGAGATGTGTTCAGAACGTTTTCCGTTTCTTCGTCGGACCCGTCATCGATCTCTTCGGTGCTAGTGGCCGTAGTTTTCGAAACCGCGGCGTCCAGTTTTGCCATCAGATCGACGGGAGGAGCGCAAATCAGGACGTCCAATGAACTGTTACTCAAGATTCGCGTTGCTTGATCGAGAAAACAGTCAACTGAAGCTGAGACAATCGACGAAGGTGGTAGATCCAGGAGGTCATTTATTTCAAATTGTGAGAGGGCACCCGTCCAACGATCGTCCGTAACCAGACGAGCACCGAAACATGATTCTTCGGAAAATCCAGGGAAGGCCGGGTGAAAATTCACCCGCCTTGAGGGTTTACCCGCTACACCTTTGGCGGACGTCTCTAACCAATCGCTCAACGCTTCGATGCTGTCAGCACTTCCCACAAGTCCCGTTCTGATGTTTGTCGGGGTCGTATCATGCAAGGCGTCAAACGGTTGATACTGCGCGATGCCAAATCGAACATCGATATGTGTATCTGTCCCAAATTCCAGTAAGGGCTCATCGATATGAAGAATGTTCAGGAGTCGTCCTCCTTGACGAGAGCTGCGAACAGATCGTCGGTTTCAGGATCCTCTTCAATCTCATCTTCTTCTGATCCTTTTGCGGCCCAGCCATTGTCATCAACTCCCACCGGAAGCTCGAACGTCAATAATCGCCCAAATTGTAGGATTGGATTCTTAAACAAATCGGCCGTGGTGGTACTCAGATAGTCTGCCCAAAGTGCTACAGCTGAGAGTACCGCTCTGTTCTTCTCAATCCTTTTTATTCCGCTCAGAGAATCTTCATGAAAGTGGTAGAGACGAACTCCGTCCCAAGTAAATACGTAGGTGGGTGTGATCTCTAAATACCATTGTTGATCGAAGCGTTTGAAGCGTGAACGAAATGCGGAATGTCGTAGCCAAACGAACCGTTCGCCATCAGCATTTGTGTTTTCGTACTTGTGTACGACCGTCATTTGGACTTTGTTGACGACCGATTGATATTCTATTTGAAGGGGCGCTGTCTCTAGATTACCACTGAACATGTAACACCCCGGATCACTTCGATACCTAACGGCGGGATACAACTGGGTCGTAAGCGCTCGATTAAGGAGTTCTACAAAGTGACGTTGTCGATCGACGTCCTCACTTTCCGACCACTCATCGACTGCGAAATCTTCGCAAGTTCCTGGGTCGCAAATGTTGCTCCACGGGCGCTCTTGGAGGTTTTGAAAGGAAATGATTGATCCGCCTCTTAGTATCCAGTCTCTTCCCGCGCGGTCAGAAGACGCGTTAAGGATTGGCCAGATTTGCTGATCGCGCCGGAATTTGCTCTCGCCAACCCAGATGCGTTTGGGTAACGATGTGACTGGCAGCAAGTTGCTGAACAGGTCTTCTGGCTGTGGCACCGGGCCCAGATAAAGGCCTGCCGATTCATCTCGCCCCAGCCTTATCAAATCAGCGTAAGATTCTTCGCTGAATCTATTGTTTCTCTTATGAAAATGGATCGTGTTTGAGGAGTCTTCTGTATTGTCGTAGTAATCCTTTATTGAAACCCAATACATCGTGTCCGTGCTTGGCTGGCTGACAATGAGCAGAACAGGCATGTTGCCCTGTCTCCAGTACGCGACATCCCTCGCGTCACAGGCAAAATCGAACGTCTCCTCCTTGTCATTCTGGAAGTTGGAAACCGCTTTGCTCTGTACGGCTAGGTGTTTTCCAAGTGCATCTCCGTTTTGTCGGTCGAATAACTCGATGAACCCGTCAATGCCTACGTCGACCGCTCCAGTTGGATTCCACGTGCAGTGCATCTTTAAGCACGTTCGTTCGATCATGCTGATGCCTTCCTGGCCCAGGCGCATTCGCGAAGTAAGCTTTTTCGGCTTCGCGGCTTTAGCCACGGGAAAGTGCTCCAGTGGCCTCTCGGAAGAACAGCGCGAGTTGAATTCGCCTCACAGGGTTGTGGCCGGTCTTGACTGTCGGTGGAGCAATTTTTTGTGGACGCCGAGGCGATGATGAATTACACCATCTCATTGTTCGCACTCTTGCGCCTTGCGCACTTTTTTGTTTTTGTGGTAAGCGCACTTGGAAGGGAGCTGTCTGGTTTGTATGTTTGTTATGATGTTGATCGGTTTATCATTCCTAGATGTTAGCGCTTAAACCGTGGCGTCCAAGATTCCACGAGATCATCTTCCTCTTCGATCTCTTCTTCATCTGGCAGGCCCTCAACTGACAGCACGGTTAGGGTCCGACCATAGCTGCCAAGCCCTATCACTTCTTCGTTCAAGTCAGCCTCTATCGTTCCGCCAAACCAGTCCGTGAGAGCTCCATATTCATCTGCACGCGCGCTCTGTGCGACGTTCTCGGTATCTGCGTTGAATTTCCTTGTTGTACTACTCAGAGGTAATGGTGTGCCTTGTTTAAGCCAAGTGAGGTTTGGAACTTCTTTGAGCGTGTCAGACATGAAGCAATAGTCGATCTTGTCTCCTGTGCTAACGACAATTGCAACCGGATCGGGTAAGCGCTGCGCGTAGCGAATTGCGGTTGCTGGCAATGAGGTAATGCACTGGTCTGATAATCCGATCAGACCATCCATTCCAGCGCTTGCTTTATCCAGTGCTTTGTCGAAGAGCGAGCGAGGCATCAACAGACCAGCGGCAAAGTGATCGGCTTCGAGTTCATAGCGATCTTTGCTCGCAAATCCTGCATAACTTGCGTGCATGCCATCCTGCATGACGCTTTCCGGATGACCGGGCATCCGGAAATGCCCAATCTCGTGCCCGATGCTGAATCGCTGAAACCCATCGCTGTCGATCGATGTTGAATAGAGAATGCCAAATTTGTCGTCATTGCGGAGCAGCATTCCAGACACTCCTGGGGTGGAGCGTGCAGGAAGGGCCTGCACCTCAATCTCAAGAGTCTGGGCGATCTCGATCGGCATCACCGGGAGGCTGCCTATCTGAAGGTCCGAGATGAGCCGCTCGGCTTGCAGCGTCGCGGCTGTCTGCCATGCGGCTGCGGCCATTAGTCTTTTTTGCCTCCGTTTTTATCCCGGCGACGGGCGAGGGTAGCCATAAAGTCGCGTGCTATGTCTCGCTCGTCCTCTGTCAGTTTCTCATAGTCGCGGAAGAGCTGGTCTCCGTCAGCTAGAACGGCATCAGCACTATCTGTTCTGCCCATCAGGTAATCCACGGTCACTTCGAAAGCGTCAGCGAGGGTGCGCAAATTCTCGAAGGATGGTTTACGGCTTCCGGTTTCAAAGTGAGAAATCGCTGTAGGTTGAAGCCCAGTCTTCCGAGCTATTTCTTCCTGGCTCATTTCCCGTTCTTTGCGAAGCGCTTGTAGACGCTTCGGGAAGGCCTGCTCTTCACCCATACTTGACTCCTAATAGACGATAACGTAAAGTTAAATGTGACGATATAGCCATCAATTGGAGATGGTCTTTTTTTGGCCTCTCGACTTGACGAATTGGTCAACTATAGCATTACAAACTTAACCTTGGAAAGGAAAAAGAGATGGCTGATAGAGCTGTTCGAAAAACCGGTAAGGACCGGGATGGTGACATAACCTCGCTGTGTAACGCCGGAGATTCCTGGTCCCCGCGTACTAAGTCAGCGGCAATAAACGATATCGAGACTGGCGCGCACACCTATTACGTACCGTGGACAGACGGTCGTACAGAAATCCGGGTCGTGAATGGAGCTAGCGGAAAGTACCTTCGTACAGACCGTGACGATACGTCTCGTAACAACCTTGACGATCTGCCCGATTGTTAACAGAAGGACTTTAGAAGCAATGAGCAAAAAGAAAGACATTCATGTTGTGCCCCACAAAGAAGGGTGGGCTACCAAGAAAGAAGGAGCCGGTAGAGCGGGGTCGGTTCACTCCACCCAGAAAGCGGCAACAGAGCGCGCGCGAGAACAAGCGCAACGTGAGCGTTCCGAAGTGGTGATCCATCGCAAGGACGGACGTATCCGTGACAGCGATAGCTACGGCAATGATCCTTTTCCCCCGAGGGATCGCAAGCACTAAATTTGCTTCGTTGGAGCGTTTATCGTCCATAATATTGAACGAAAAAATAGATATTGTTAAGTATAGTGAACCGTAAGACTTTTCTATACTCGCTTCCTTTCTTTACTTAATGTCCATAATAGTTTATGTTAAATTACATAACGTATAGAATTATGGACATTATGGAAGATAGGCGAACTAATTATGCAATGCCGCTGCCGGTACGCCGGGCCTTACGTAAGTTAGGCCAGGATATCCGTGATGCGCGGTTACGCCGTCGTATTCCAACGGCGATCCTTGCTGATCGCGCGTCTATAAGCCGGACAACGCTGAATAAGCTGGAAAAGGGTGAGCCTGGAGTATCGATAGGCATCATAGCGACCGTCCTCTTCGTGCTCGGCATGATCGACCGGTTGTCCGCACTGGCAGATATTCGCCACGATGAGCAGGGTCTAGCCTTAGACGAAGACCGACTACCTCAACGGATTCGTCGGAAAAGCAGGCGCCCGGAAACGGAGAAGTCCTGATGGAAAAGGAAGTTCTCGTTTATGTCGACCTTGATGGTACGCCGCACTTCATCGGCCGGTTATGGGCGCATGAACGTAAAGGAAAAGAGAGTGCTACTTTTGAATATGACGAGGCGTGGCTCGCGCATTCTGAAAAGTTTGCCCTTGAACCGGCAATGCAGCTTGGTCCCGGTCCATTTCATACGGCGGCAGATCGCGCTTTGTTTGGCGCTGTCGGTGATTCAGCTCCGGATCGTTGGGGCCGCGTGCTCATGCGGCGGGCCGAACGCAGGCATGCTCACAGTGAAGGCAGGGCTGCACGAACTCTCAACGAGATTGATTACCTTCTTGCGGTTGATGATGAGGCGCGTCAGGGTGCGGTGCGCTTCAAACTGGAACCGGAGGGCGCTTTTCTGTCACCCTATGATGCCGCGAAAATACCGCCACTGATCGAACTTCCGCGGCTGCTTGATGCGACGGTGAGGCTCATTGATGAAAACGAGGATGATGAGGATCTGCGTCTCCTGCTCGCCCCAGGATCATCGCTTGGTGGCGCGCGCCCCAAAGCATCGATCAAAGATCAGGATGGAAGCCTCGCCATTGCCAAGTTCCCGCACAAAGAAGATGAATGGAACACAGTGTTGTGGGAAGCGCTTGCACTAACACTCGCCGAAAAAGCTGGGATTTCTGTACCTGTTTGGCGTCTGGAACAGGTTGCAGAACGGCCGGTACTCATTCTGAACAGGTTTGATCGCGCGGGTGAAACGCGGATTCCGTTTCTATCAGCGCTCAGCATGCTAGGCGCAAAAGACAATGAAACCCGTTCCTACCTGGAGATCATTGATGCACTCCGCCAGCAGGGTGCAAGACCCGAAGAGGATATGCATGAACTCTGGCGACGCATTGTCTTTACCGTCCTGATCTCCAATGTTGACGATCACATGCGAAACCATGGATTCCTCTATGATGGATCAGATGGGTGGGTGCTTTCGCCCGCATATGACCTTAATCCTGTACCGATTGACGTCAAGCCACGGATCCTTTCATCTGCGATCGATTTTGAGGACCAGACGGCTTCGATAGAGCTGGCGTTAGAAGTAGCACCGTATTTTGAGCTAGAGGACGAAAATGCGCGCGCGATCGCTTTCGAAGTTGCATGTGCTGTATCCGCGTGGCGCTCTGAAGCCTCAAAACTCCGACTTTCAAATGCCGAATGCACGCGGATGGAGACTGCCTTTGAGCATAAGGACTCTGAAATCGCAACGGCGCTGTCCGGCTGAAACTTGGCTAAGCTCTAGGACCGATTCTGCGCGTTACCGGCTCATGTGCTGGCGACAATTTCACCTCTTTACTGTCTTCAAACGTATTGTTCAACTCCTATCCGCGTTTTTTCTCATAGCTTCACTTTTCTAGCCGGGGTCGCCATCTAAGCAACGGGCGGCGCGCACCCCCTCATTTCATGAGCCGTGTTGCCCGTTTCCCCTTCGGGTGCATAGCGTCTTTCCCCCGTCTTCGATGTTGCGTGTCTTTCGAAACAACCTCGTAAACAAGGAGATGGAAAATGACCAAAGAAAATTCAAACCGGCAGGACATCTACACATGGCGCAACGGATGCCGAACGAGAGCAATTCTACCAAGACGTTGTCGTTCAGATCTCGACGATCTACAAAAAAGGCAAGCAACGTGAATATTTTCTGCGCCTACATTTCGATAAGCATGTCAGGGTCGCAGGTGATGGATCTCTCTCGTACCAAATCTATGGGAATGAGTCTGAAGATCAAGAGTCGTTGTTTAATGCCTTCAAACGCTCAGCCATCGAAGCGACGAATGAGTTTTTATAACCAATCTGAATGCTGATGAATTAGGTCCTACGCAGACCACTCTAACTTGTCCACTTAGGCAACGCAGTTCATGGAGCAGTTTAGATGAATGTGACGTGCCCCAGGTTTCACGTTCACCAAGTTAAGGTGAGATGATGAAACTGGAGGTGCGAAATGACACGAAGGAACTACACACGGGAAATCAAGCTAGAAGTGGTGCAAGCTTCTGTGGCCGTCCCGGCGAGTTAAGCTCATATGTCCATCTCCACTTCAGGTCCCCTACGTACCTTGTCGATGATTCGCTCGAGAATCGGTTTAAGCTTCTCAAGATCGGTGCGCCCACGCAGATCCTTGGGCAGCCCATCCTTATCGAGAATTCGTGCGTAGTTCACATGCTTGCCTTCCAGCGCACTCGTTTTTTCACCTGGTCGAAGTGAAATACCTTTGGCAAGGTCATCGACGTCGTCCGTATAAACATGGCTACTAAATTTCGCCCGGCTCAGCGCGACATACATGGATTTCTGATTGATCAGATTTCTGCGCCAACTTTCCGCAAGGACAATGCCATCATCGTAGGTAGCCCCTTGCCCGGAATACACCGTTGTTGCGTAGGCATGCTCCCAATGTCGATTGTTTTGTAGGTTGATGGTTTTCTCGCCGGCACGCTTAAAGGCGATGGTGACGTCCCCCGTCTTTTCGTCGACGCTTGTGACCTTACCCAGATCCGTGTTATTCACGCCGATTGCCTTGTCTTTTCGGCGCCACCGAATCTCGTCGCCGGTCGCAATACTTCGATCTTCCTGTCGGTACACCTCGACGCCGTTTTTCGCGCGCCCGGCCACCCGCGTTGGGTTCCAAAGGATCTGTTTGCCGTTTTCACTTTCTAGCGTTAACTCGTCTTTTCCCGTCTCTTTGACGCGGTAGGGGATGTCGGCTTTAATTTTCATTGAGGCGACCTCACGGCCGAACGCGACGACGTCGCCTTTGCGGTAGAATATCGCGCGTCCTTTCTCAGCGCGAGACAAGCCTCGGTTGGTGAGGCCCTTGAGCTTAAGCTCCTCCTTTTCAACAAAGCCTTTCGCTTGTAGACCTTTACGCACCATTTGATTCACTTCGCGGCGCGTATCATTGTCAGGGATGAGGACAAGTGTCTTTTGTCGCTCACTCTCCGGCAGAGCCAGAACACGATCAACGATAGATTGAATTCGTTTGTCACGGTCTTTGATTTCATAGACCGTCTTGCTGATGTGTTCTAGTGCGGCTCGAGGTTTTTTCTCAATCGACGACTCAACCGCCGCTTTGAGGTCCGGACTGTCCTTTTGCCGCATGATGTCGCGCATTTCAGCGTAGTGCATACCGGCCTTAATCAATTGATCGAAGGGTTTGCCGGCCTCGATCGCGCCCAGTTGCTGTCGATCGCCGATCAGAAATACGCGTGAGCGCGTTTGTCGACTGAGCGTTAACAGGTCCGCGGCGTCCTGCGTATTTTGCAGTGACGACTCGTCGACAATCAGAATTTCCTTAGAATTTTGCACGAGCTTCTTCGTGTTCTTGAGCGACAATAGATGGCTCGCTAACGTCCGACTTTGAATGCCGGTTTCTTCCTGCAGGAGATTTGCGGCCGAGCCAGTTGGTGCAAGTCCGGTGACTTTGAATCCCTTGCCTTCTGCGACCTCTCTGACAGCCGAGAGCATATAGGTTTTACCGGTTCCCGCGTATCCCTGGACGCCAACCACGCGGTCTTTCGAGGACAACAGCAAACGTACGGCTGCTGCCTGACCCTTGGTGAAACCACGTTCTTCAATGAGCCCGCTGATTTGACTGCGCTCCGCGATACGGCTCACATCGCGCTTGCCGCGTTGCATCAAACTGATGATGTACTGTTCTTTCTTAATCGCCGCTGGTGTTGTGTAAGCCGGTGTGTCTACACGGCCATTGCGCAGGCTGGCGGGCACCAATTTACCGATTTCAACTTCCTTCGCGATGGCATCCTCGACGGATCCAATGGTGCTGCTGCCGAGGCTTGCACGAAGTGTTTGCTCCTGCAAATCGTCGGCTGTAAATACCGCTTCGCGTTCTGCCAGGTGTGATCGTGCGAATTCGAGATCGGCCGCTTGCTGGGCTTTCGTTGACCGCTCGACGGCGGCGTTTTGGTGTCGATTGCGCGCTGCTTTGATGTCAGTATCTGGATCGTAATCGAGCTTTTTCAGTTGGTCCGCCCAAGCCCCTAGCAACGCCTCCTGATTGCTGTGATGCTTCGCGCTTCGCGTCCGAACCGCCGCGTTATCCATGCCTTTTGCGGTCCGGTAACCGTACTCTTTCGCTGCTGCGAGGATCTCCGTACGGCGCTTGGAAAAGCCCTTGCGAACTGCTTCCGGAACGGCGGAGATGTCGAATGTGCCTTTGCTTGCGTCGGCTTCAATGTCGTAGCCAAGCGCTAGAACTTTCGATGCGAGTTCGTTCCGATAAACCTGTCCGATCTTCTTCGAAGCGTCGTACATACGTCTCGATTCCAACGAGCGCCATTCGCCGTCCGGGCGCTGTGTCAGATTCATGATGACGTTGTGTGTATGCAGCTGCGGATCCATCGCCCGCGATGTGGTGTGCGTAAAAGACGCGACAATGAGGTTCTTAGTCAGTACCTCTTTGATTTCCCCATTCACCTGTTGGCGGGTGATACTGTAGTTCGCCTCGAGGTGTTTGAGTGCTGTCGATACCGCTTCATTGTGTGCCGCTATAAGGCGTTTATCGCCGCCAGCGAGGGCCAACACGGAAACAGACTTCGGCGCTGACAAAGTGAAGTCCCAGCCCTTTTTGTGCTCGCGCTCACCGTTGCCGTTGCTCCGTCCGACCTGGGTCCCATCATCCAACTGGCCATCGAGCATTGCCTTGAATTGGGTACTGTCCACGACACCATCAAGGCCGAGCCTCTTGGCGCCATTGCCCTGCCAGGTAGACGCGATGTCTTCGTTTCCATCCTTCGCGTAATAGTCGGCTTCAGAGTAATAGTGAGACGCAACAGAGCTGCTCGAGATCGCTTTAATTGACAGCATCGGCTAGCGTTCTTCAGTCCGGGTGGTTGTCGATTCGGATGCGCGATTGACTCCCGTCAATCTGTTCAACATGCCCGGCCGAGAGAACAACAGTGCGGCGATAACGATCGCAAGAACCGCGATAAAGCGAGGCCCAGTGGACTCGAATTGGATCAAGATCGTGCCCAGGATAAGAAGTAAGCCGGCTAGCGCATAGCGTTCCGATTTGGTGGTTGTGCTGCTGTCTGATTGCATAATTTGTCCTCTGTTTCGTCGAGTCATAGTCTTTTGATTCACGTCACCCGGGATAGATTCCATAGAAGCTAGAGCAACTCCGTCTGATACATGTCCCGCCCGGCGTCACGGCCATCTTCTTGGCCGGTCGTATCGGTAGCCGCCGACGGTATCGCGCGGCCGTTGAGGCCATTGCCAACAAAATCATCCTTCTCGTTGGCCCTTGGGCGGTGCTTAGCGCTTCGAGGAAACCCATTGACCAGGACCGGGGCGTTGTCTAGATTGGGTGCGACGATATCGAAACCGTTGTCGACAAATCCCTCTGCGACTTTTGGATATTTCTTGTACTGAGCGATGATGCGACCCACCGGCAGTCCGCGCCCAAATTTCACGAACCCGTGTAGATCCTTGAGGTTCATGATCTCGGTCGGCAGGACGATAGGCCTGAGGTTTCGTTGCTTGGACAACGTGACGCCGTCGCGAATTTCGCTGGCACCAAACGAGATGCCCTCAAACGTTTCGACCGTCTCACTATTGCCGAGGTTTTCACTCGAGTACGTGGCGCCGGCTTTGTCGTTGTAGCGGAACCCGCACCAAGTAGAGCAGCCGCTTGCGATCGTGTCCGCACCTTCTTTGCCGTAGATCATCACCAGTTGTGAATAGGCTTGAACACCGAGTATGAAGCAGCCTCCGAACTTTCTAAGACCAGCCAACCCATCAAAAAGAGAAGGCAGTTTCTGCAGACTTGGTAGCTCGTCGATGCCGATCCAGATACGACGCTGACGGCTAGGCTCAAGCGATGCAATCGCTGCGATTGCCGTATCCATCCACGCCGTGATCAGAGGTTTTAGCGCCGTTCTTTGCTCGTCCTTGGTCGTCAGAAACACCCATCCATCGCCCTCGTCTTGGCGGATCCAGTCCTTAATCGAGAACCGTGGCGCGTCTTTAGGCAGGTACTTCATGGACCGCGTGTAGGCGGCTAGAACACCGCGCACCGAGACCGCCATACGTTCGCCACCGTGGGAAATTATTGCCGCCGCTTCGGTGTTTTCAACGTACTGTGTGATTTCCGCGATGCTGACGTTCATGATTGCGTGCATGAGCTTTTCGTTGCTCGGTTCTTGGTCGCTGGCAATCTTCTTTGCCAGCGCCGCAAACACAATTCGCGCACCTAACACCCAGTACGGATCGCCGACCTGACTGCGTTCGGGGATGAGTGATTCGGCCATACGATCATATTGATAGTCGCGCGAGCATTCGGCCCATACGTCCCAGCCGGCCGACCGCGCATCGAGTGGATTCAGGATGATGTCTTTCCCTGGGCGATAGAAATGCGACACGTATTCGCCGCTGTTGTCGTAGATCACGAGTCGCTGTTTTTGTCGTCGAATGCCCGTCAGCATTTCTTTAGAGACAGTACTTTTACCGGTACCTGACGAACCGCTCAACATCGTGTGAGCGATATCCGAACCCTCCGGCATTGGGATACCGGCGATGGTCATTTCAGGGATCTTGCCGAACTTCTTAACGGCCTGTTTGAGCTGCTTGCCATCAACCAGCTGACTACCCCGAACATGCTCATCCTCGGCCTGGTCAGTACCAAATCGATAGATGAACTTGAACACCAGAAACAGTACGAAAAGACCCAACATGGCGCCGCCGACAAATGACCAGATAGCCGCTTTGTATACGTTACTGACGGCTTGTTGAACGCTACCGTTGTTGAGAAACGTGACCGTTCGAACCTCGATCTTCCGCCCAGTTTCAAGCTTAAAGGGGATCTTTCCATCGGTCTGTTTTAGCCCGTTAACAACCACGTAACCAACGGTGTACTTAACGGTCACGTACCGCTCGTAGCTCGTCGTTGTGTACCAAAAAATGCTGCCGATTGAGAGCAAGAGCGTGAGAATGCCCAGGGCCATAAACTTGGTGATGACCTGGCCGATCATCCGTAAGAAGTGAATGGCTGTTTGTCCGCCGCGTGTAAAATTTCCGATCGAAGAGGTTTGGAAAATGCTCATGCTTGCTCCACTCCAATTTGCTCCAGAGCGTGCTTCGCGTCCTGTTTGGCGAGCTCGAGTAGCTCTTCATCGAGGTGTCCAGCCATCCGGCGGGTGAGGCACAAGGTCTGAATGGTGAGGTTGAATGCGGTCTTGGTGAGGCCGTCATCTGCATCGGTGCGCTGGATTCCGGTGGCGACCAATTCTCGCCAAATGCTCGCTTCTTCAACGCGTCGCTGTTTCGCGAGTCTTCGCACATAGGCGACAAACTCTTCTGGGTATCGTACGGTCACAGAAAGCATGTTCGGGTACTCCTCCCTTCGCGTTGAGCGTCATTATTACAAATATATAAAAACATATAAAGCATAAAACACATGTATGCGCTTGCAAGTAAGGAAAACAACACCTTACGGGCATTGCTGCCAGCATCGACACTTTAGCGGTATGCGAAAAACGCAATCAAATTCAATGCCTTGCCCACTGCAGCGTAAGCTGCGTAGGGTGTGAACTTTTTTGGTGAGCATCGCGAGCTAAGGTGAGGTCAGACAGACCATAGACATAGCTCGCGGGGGTATAGGTTGGAATTGCCGGGGTTAACCTGCGCTAGCAGCAGAGTGATTTGCCCGCCCAACCTGCCCCGTAACCTTCTACAAATAGCGTACTAGGGACAACTACGTTCAGCGGCAGCCCACAGACACTTTACCCACTCATGGCGCATCAGCGCTGTCTTAGGGCGCCTCAAAGCGACACCTCTGGGTTATCCGGTTGTGGTGATATATAAAAACATATAAAATACTAATCCGAAATACCAACGACCACACAGGAGTACATACGCATGGCAGCCAAAAAAAGTATCTTTCAGAGCACTCGACAGAATTCGGTTTCGGTGTCGGTGAAAATTCCACAAGAGCTCAAAGAACGCATTGAGGCGCTACGCGAGTCACTCGCCGCCGTTGACCAAACACTGACGTTCAACATTTCGGCGATCTGTGCCGAAAGGCTGGAGATTGCGGTCAAGACCGGTGAAGCGGAGCTTGCCAAGATGAAGCCCGCCGCAAATGGAACCGACGCGTCAGAAGGGGTGCGGGTTTAACCCGGTTCGTGGGTGGTGCTTCCGTGTTCAACCAGGCTGAAAACTGCTCGGTGATGAAGGCGGGCGCGTTGGCTACGTTCAGTAGCCTAAAACGGCCTGTGCTTCGTGAAAGGTGCGGACCTCGAAGCGTTCAACGCTCGCAGGTGTACTGTCTTGCGTGAAGGTCTCCGGGGAATTGTGCTGCCGCATACATTTGGCGATGGTGGTCCGACTGCTGTGCACCATCCGCGCCGCCAGTTTGCTGTGTTGCACATTCATGCCGCACGCGCCTGGTCGACGGTAGCCATGAGGTATTGATGGGCCTTACTGGCGAGGCTGGCGGCGCTGACAATGGCACGCTCGTCAGCCTTTAAAATCTCAATCCAGTGATCGAGGTAGCTGGCGTGTTCTTGCAGCGTACCTTGTATGCCTAAATCGGCGCATATAAAAGCGCTACCCAGTTCAGCGACCAGTTCCTCGGCGGCGTAAGACGCATCGCCAAACTTGCCGGACAAATCACGCGCCAAGCGGGTTTTGTGTGCGGTCCAGTGGGTGAGCTCATGCGTCAGCGTCGCGTAGTAATCGCCCGCGCTCTTAAACCGAGCCCGTTCAGGGCAGCGGATGGTGTCTGACGTTGGTAGGTAGCAAGGCGAAAATGCACCGAATTCAATCCGTGCACCGGTCTGCGCGATGAAGGTTTCTGCCTCTGGGTTTTCGTCCGGAGACGCTTGACCCAAGCGCTCCGTACTCGGGTCCTCGATGCCGTCTATCTGGTCGAGGTTAAACGCAGAAAACTGGCGCGCCATTGGGATACTTTTGGTTTCGCCGCTGGCGTTGTCGGTCCTCTCCAATAGGCGGTAGAAAATGCCACGTGTCCCTTTCTCTTTTTTGCGCACGCAGCCGCCGAGGTCGCGCGCTTGATTGAAGGTCAACCAGTACTGCGAGCTATACCCCTGCTTCTGCGCCGTCATCCAGAAAATCAGCGCATTGATACCACGATAGGAATTGTTGGTGCTGAAGTTTCGCGGCAAGCGCTGGGCGCTACCGATGGACCAAGACCGCTGCCACGGCGGTGTGCCTTGTTCGAGTGCATCAAGAATGGATTGGGTAACGCTCTCGTAAATCGTGTCTGTCCTATTCATGGCGCTAGATCCTCGTGGTTGGTGTGGTCAAGGAGTGGCCGTAGCAGGTCAGCTGACCATCAGCTGGAAACTTAGGCCTTGTGGTTATTTTGTGAGGCATCGAGTTATGGGATTCACCGCCCAGCAAAGTCCGCGCCTTGATAGGTACGTTGCTCGAGTCGGTGGTGAAGTCACCATTTCCAGTAGGGCGTAGGCGTTCGTGCGCGCGTCAACGGAATCGCCAACGCGATCGCAGCCGACGATAACGGCGCGGCCGACGATGGGGTGAGGGCAACCGGCCAGGCGGAAACAATGGCGCGACGTCCCCTTAAGTCGTGCAGCGGAGTCCACGAAGACGGTATCTTGTGTAGGCAGACTGACGGCAACGCTGAGCGATTTGCAGCCGATCACTTGCCGGATACGCGCATAATCATCGGTGTCGATGGACAACGCAGTAATGCACAGGATTTCGGGGTCGATGAGAATGGCTTGCATACATAAATCCTCTAGGGGAAAAAAGGGACTCGCGCGATGTGAGTACCCCCTGCTGGTCCGCTAAGCGGCCTTGCCGTCAAGCATTCGCAGATCAGACGCGACAATCTCGGTGGTGTACCGTTCAATGCCGTCTTTGTCCGTAAACTTGCCGTGTTTCAGACGGCCCTCGACGTACGCACGACTCCCCGTCTTCATGTACTTGCTGACCACGTCGGCCAACCCGGAATAGAAAACCACACGGTGCCAATCGGTCTGCTCGATCTTGTTGCCATCCGCATCCTTGTGGGTGTAGTTAGTTGCGAAAGAACAGTTCACGACTGACTTCCCGCCGTTGGTTTGATTGGCTTCCGGGTCTTGTCCAAGACGGCCAATGATTTGCACTTTGTTGAGATCAGTTGTCATGATTTTTACCTCATTGGGTATGCGCTAGTGGATTGATAAGTTGTGATCTGAACTAGCCCAAATCACATCTATATTATATAAATACATATAATATTGTTCAAGTATAAAGGTTCAATTTTTCTTATAAATATTAACGACTTAACCTGAATTTCCGTGCTGCGAAAAGAGGTACTCTTTCATTCAATCGCCCTGCTTTTGTTAGCTGAGCCCGGCGTCCGGGGCCGCCCCCGGTTCATGAAATCTTGGGCGCTTGCGCCTCCCTTCTTGATGCCTGTGTGGGTCATACTTCACCTCGAAAAAGCCTTGCTTCCGTCCCTTCGCCGGGGCCAAAGAAGCGAAGGTTATGATCTGCAACAAGGGTTCGGCCGCAAGTCGCAGCTAAGCAACTGAGCGCCCAGCGCGAGGGCGTCTGAACGAGTGAGGAACGAAAGCGCAGCGGTCCTTGTGGAAGGGCATGTTCTTCGCATCGTGGACCTGGGATATCGAAGGGAGGGGAGTAAGGCGAGGTGGACCCACACAGAGCTTTGATGGACACCCGATGTAACGAAGGTAATGGTGTTTGGACTTCGTAGTGCGTGCGATAAACTTAGCGCGGATCGTCGCCCGAATGGGCGGAGACACGTCGTGGCTCCGCTCGTAGCGCGAGCGGCGACTAGAGCCGGATGAGATGCATACAATCCCTGCGGCCTCTCTGCGATCAACCAGAATTATATTTATTCATATAAACTAAATACGTATTAGACATTCTTTAAGTATGGTCACGCGCCAGCGTCTACAACCGTATCGGCTCAAAAGTCAGGATACCGGGTTCGGTTTATAGATCGATGACGGCTCACCAATCGGAGTGCTCGGAGTCTGGTTGCACAGGTTCATCTCATATTCTGGATGAGGCTGTAATGTTCGGGTTGTTTACCCTCGGTCTTCAACGTCAGCGGTTCCCCGAGGTCCGGTCGTGTTGCCACTTTGACGGCGCGATTCACACATCGTAGGTCACACATCGTGGGTAATGAAACCACGGCTAATGCACGACAACTCGATTGTTGAATGCCGCAAGTGATTGTTCATGGGTTAAAAGGGTAGGCACACACCTGATCAAACACTCAGCCCGTCACGACCAGATTTTGCAGGCGAGCAAAGGCGTCAAACGTTACAAACGATGAGGCCCAACCGCTCGGTTCAAGCTTGAGTCGGCAGGAGTAATGCCGGAGACAGCGCGGGCAGTTCACACGCCGAACGAGAAAGTGAGCTTGACACCCTCAGACTTCGAACGTAATCTAACTGTATTATCCATATTAATACACGTTATACAGATTAATGTTCTCGATCCAAACCAGTTCCGATGTACCCATCTATCTTCAATTGATTCGTCAAGTGGAAGAATTTGTGACGACGGGGGTGTGGCAACCGGGCGACGCGGTGCCTTCTGTGCGACAAGTCGCCCAAGACTTGGCCATCAATCCAATGACCGTTTCCAAAGCGTATGCACGGCTGGAATCCATGGGGTTATTGCGGGGCCAAAAAGGCAAGCGCATGACAGTTGGACTCGCCCAACATACGCCACGTGAACTGCTGGCACCGGCGGTTCTGGAGTTGGTGGCCGAAGCACAGCGCTTAGAAGTGACACCGGCGGAACTCACGGCTTGGTTGATCGCGGCTTGGGATAATCGAGATGTTTAACACGCGCCCGCAATACAGCCTGCAATACAGCAAGTGGAGACAACTATGCTAAACACGAGATATCCCTTGGATTTACGCGGCGTGTCCGTCGCGTTTGGCGAAAAAGTGGTGCTAGACAACATTGACCTGCCATTGCATGCCGGCAGCGTCACGGGATTGTTGGGTCGCAACGGCAGCGGCAAATCAACCTTACTCAAACATGCCCTCGGTTTGTTGCCGCACGGGCAAGGCACCTCGTCGATTTTTGGCGAGGTCGTTGCGATGGCGTCGCCACAAGCGCGAGGACGCCTCGGGTATGTCCCGCAGACCTTCGATGCGTTCCAACACCTCCACGTTCAAGCGTGCTTAGATCTGGTTGGTGGCTTTTATAAAACGTGGGATAGATCGCTCGTGAATCGCTTTCGTAACGCGTGGTGCTTGGACCCCAAAATGCGCGTTGATGCCTTGTCCCAGGGGCAGCAACAACTCTTGAGTATCCTGTTGGCGATCGGTCATAGACCTGAACTGCTTATTCTAGATGAACCGATGGCTGCGTTGGATCCCGTGGCACGGCGGGATATCCTCAAGGGCCTCATCGACATTAATGTGGAGCGCGGTACAACGATATTGCTATCTAGCCACATCGTATCTGATGTTGAGCGTATCGCGTCGCACCTGGCGATTTTGCATGATGCGCAGCTGCTTTATCACGGTGAGTTGGATGAATTGCGGGCGTCCGTGCAATGCCTCTATCTGCAAGGCCCGGTATTGCCCAAGCAGATTGCAGACGTACTTGCGTATCGGATCTGCCCAGATCACGCACAGGCGTGGACGTTAGACTGGTCACAGCAACGCATTGAAGCATTCGCTCAAGACCACAATCTTCGCGTGCACATTAAGCCACAAAGTTTGGAAGATGCTTTCATAGGAATGACCACATGATGATGTATTTATCAGCTCTAAAACCCGTACGCATGCATCACTGGGTGAGCGTGACGCTTGCGCCTCTGATCTTCATTGCTGCAGAAACGCAACTGCCGATATTCGGCAGCGTTTTGGCCGTGTTGTTTGTAGGCGTGTCACTTGGGGCGTCGTTGTCGGCTTTTAAACGCTATCCTGCGGTGAACTTTCTACCGAACTTTGCCAGGACGATGAGCCAGCTGGTGGTGTTCGTGATAGTCACCCTCACGGCCATCGCGACCTGTGTCGTCTTTAACCAACCTCATTTTGGTGCGGCGGAAGTTGGGTTGATGTTTGGCGCGGGTTTAGCCGGGTTTCTGCTGGCCGCGGGACAGGCGGCCGCGTTACCCATCGTGATGTTGATCATTGTATCGGCGTTTCTACCCGCTTCCGATTCACATGGCGTGGTGTCAGTCCCTCTTGTTGCGCTGGCGGATCTAGGTCTCCTGGTGTGGATGTATCGCTGGATGTCGTCGGGAAGCAGCGCGTCATATAAACTACTTGAGCCGTCGCAGCGCGGCCTAGGCACCACAATGAGGCACACGGTTTCGCAAACTGCCCGGGTAAACCAAGTGCTGGGGGAGAGGTGGGTTGTACGCATCGCGACGTTGGGGATATTTGTCCTGGCGAGTCCGCTCGTGGTGGCGGCTATGAATTACATAAGCCAGCCGACCACTTGGCTTGTCTATCTCACGTTCACGCTTTTCTGTGTCGTGGGCGTGGTTGTTGTCGCAGTCGACCGGAGCGCCCACTATGCGCGACATTTGGACATGCTTTGGGGGTTAGGTGTCGGTGAGGATCGCCTCCACCTAAGAGGCTGGCTGTGTCGACGGGTATTGATACACCTACTGATACTTCAGGGGTGTCAGACATTGGTCATGGGGTGGTTTGCGTCGAGATACGCAGCGCCGCTCTTGCCGATGACAACCGTTCTTCTTGCCCTGGGTGTTCTCGGTGTGGTTTTGGTACAGCTTCATTTCTGGCTGAGGGTGGAGAAAAAGATTGATCCGTCATCTACCTCTGCTGCGCTGATGGGGGTAGGCATCGTTTTGGGTGCTGTCATTGCACACTTAAGTTTCTCGGCTGTCTCGTTGTTATGGGTGTATGGGTTATGTATTGCCTTGATTGGACTGGCAGCGCAAGCAGGCGGGTTAACTAATCCCTACTCGAACCGTAGCTTGACAAAACTGTGATCGGTGATGGCCAACACAACGCAAACCACTAGGATACACTTTCTGCTCCGACTGACACCGTCAATCCATACGGCTGTTAAGGCACGTGCGTCGGAAAACATGCGCAGTGTCAACGCGGAAATCAGTTTTCAACTTAAAGCGTTTGATCGTTCGTCATCGACGATAGAATCGACGCAACTCCAAGATGAGCAATTACTATTGATTGCTTTTCGAACACTAGATCCGGAGCGCCGCCGTCACGCGCTGTCGTGGCTTCAGTCAATCGCAAAAACTAATTGATCTCGAGGGTCTACTGACCTTATTGCGTCGCGCAGAAGAATCCCTACGCCGATGTCGCCTGAAATGGAAAGGTTCTCACTGGTTCAGTGGCTTAATGTCCAGTGTCGTGGTTATCCATTGTTTTAGAAATTCCCGTGGAATGACGGCGTGCCCGTCCGATGGCATGCCGGAATCAAATACGTCATGTTCAAAAACGATGGCGAGATCGTGCAACTTGTGACGAATCAGTGTCGCGCTGATCTCACAGTCATCGGTGAGACCAGTCATTTTCCAAAGATGCAGAATAAAAGAGTCGGTGTCTTCAATACCCATAAGAAATCCGAAGAGTACGGAAACGGCGAAAGTGTGTGCGTCGACTTGGTAAGTGCCGCTAGATTTGCCATCGTTAATCGGCCAGTTCATCGATTTCGGTATGCCCTGTTCACATACAATGATGACGTCATCAAGATACGCGTCCTGATGTTGGAGTCGCCCTGTTTTGTTGGCATCTTTCATATGATCCTCCCATCGACGTAATTCAGATCGATTGTTGTCGATTCTAGTAACCCTATAAAGTATTGTTAGTTTTATGCTGTCAGACATATCGGGCTAATAGTTACAACTTATCGACCCCTCATAAGACTTGTCAACGACGTTTTAGTGGAATACCAATAAAATGCTATGCAAATAATTTCAGTTTGATGTCATGGCGATATCACGATGATATCGCGGCGCCACTTTTTGATATCATGGTCATGCTAGGCGTCGGATTTATCGTGCGCGTGCACGAATGGGGCAAGATTAGGGCGAAACCGTCATTTCAAGGGAAGTCACGATGGCAGGCGATGATCGAGCTCGAAGAACAGTCGGTCAATGGGGCAAGATTGGGGTTTTGTTTGGTATAGGTTCTTGGAGAAGGCTCACTTTATCTGGCTGCGCAAAGCATTAGTGTTCGGTAGTCGATCCGAGTTGTCCATTGAGTCTCGGCAGCAGACGGTTTTATTGAGCTATTTCTGTGCCCGCTTGGTGCCAACAACAATCATTGAGAAATGCGGTACTAGCTAATTCTCAGCAGTTTGCCTTTGCGTTTTTGGATACCCCTATAGTCCCACTGAAGGGTCTCGGCTTTTCCAAGCCACCTCTTCATATCCTTAAGATTGATCTGATCAACGTTCGTGTAATGAGCAGAGGCATCCTTGAATTTGCCAGTGCCGGGCTTTAGCTCTGCTTCATCAAAATCAGCTACGCTCCAAAACATAAGTCTGATGCAATCTTTTAGCTTGCTGTAGCCGACAGTTGGGTTGCCATCCAAAAACCAAACCGGATGACCGTGCCAAATTTTGCTCTCGGCTTCAGGAAGGTGGCGATCAATTTCTCGCCTGAGTCTATCGCAGATTTTCTGGTCTTCCTCACACTGCGATGCATTGAACGCTGAGATTGTCTTGGGTTTCATATCTCCAAGCTACCAAGAACACAGATTTTGTCCAGTTTCGACCATCCGTTGTGTCTCGTTACCGACGAAAACCAGCCGCAGACGGCATTCGTCTGCTGTCTAGGGCACAGCGGATTCGGATTCTAGCTAATTGAGGCTGTCAAGCCATGCTTAGGGTGTCATTCCGTCGTCTCCTGCAAACGACTCCTAGTTGATTGGTTCAAAGCGTGATGATGATTCCGGAGCGCTTACCCGCAATTCTGACATCCGTTAGCAGAGAAGGATCGAGTGAGCCCACTCGACAGTCCTCAACGGTCAGGTCGCCTTGATCGACACGATCTCCGAATAACAGAAATGCGCTGTCTGGATCGCACTGGTTTGAGGTCCAAATTAACCCATCGATATCCGAAAACTGATGGTGTATTGCCTCAGCCCAGGCGGCGGTTGCACCATAGTGTTTGGCATTGCTTGCTATCAACGCGTTTCGTGTCACTTGCCATGTGTTTAGATCAGGTTTTCTGAGACTGGCCAGCCTTAGGTCGCAAGCTACCACCAACGTGGTATGACTTCTTGTCAACACTTGTTGTCGGGGTACCGTCTTTAGTTTTGCTTTAGCGGGTATGTCATGGAAGATAGTTTCATATATGGCGGTTTCCAATGTACTCCCCGCATATAGCGAAGGAACGCAATTTCCATGTCTGTCATGGATGGGCGCAAATCTAGTTGGGCTCCCCAGGCACGGATTAAACTGGTTGCCTGCATAGGCACTGTCATGCACACGATAGATGCTCGTACCTGCTTTTAACGTATAGGTGTTTGGCGGAGTGAGTGACGCGCCAGGCTTTCGAACATACAAAACCGTTAACCTATCGCTGATTCCGCGGCGTGATGTGCAGCGGCTACGAGTTCATCTGTTTGTTCTAAGTGATCGACTGGAGGTGCGCCATCTAGCCAGCCGTTTCCGCTCGCGAACCAGAATGCGATTTGCCACGGCGTGAAATCGTCAGGCAATGCCGCCAGCACCTTTTCAATACACGGGCGAGGTTTACCGTCACGGAACTGGAACGCTGGAAACAGCTCCATGCCTTTGTGTGGCACGGAAAACAATTTCTGTTCTCGCTTCCATCGAGAGGCAGGCTCACTTCTATTTTTAGGTGCTAGGCCTGACATCTCGCGTACTTGGGCACTCGACAACAGCTTAGTCGCTTTCAAATATTCGGCGCGCAGCTGCGCATTATCCAACTCAAGGTCTGATTCGATGTCGGGTCTGGGTGCATCGTGAAGCAACATCTCTACCAGGTGCGCCATATTCTCTTCGGACAACACTTGCTTACGTTGGCCCACCATCTGCGCCAAGCGCGCCATGGCGCCGACCATCGCAGGCTCAGAGACAAACGTAGGCATCTCTATTTCTTGTATGATTTTGGCGGCGCTAACGGTGAGCCGGGTTGATCGCCCCAGATTTCGCGTCTTACCGACCTTGTTTGATGTGCCTGTTTTTGCGCTGGTGCCTTTTGGTTTTTCTGGCGTTTTCTCTTGCTGTGCCATGATAATCACCTAATATGATATTCGTGATAAGGCAAAATATAGCACATATCATATTTTTGTTCTCCACTTTATAGGTTATGATAATGTACCTTCTCATAAGCAATAGTTGAGGTTAGAATTCTACCTCTAGAGTAGGGTACCCATGTCTGATTCGACCGACGTTGAACAACAGGAAGAAAAGGGCGGTGGTGAAGCGGTCGCCGGTGACCTGGTGCCTGTCATCAACTGGCAGACACTGCCACACATCGATCTCACGCAGTTTGTCTCCAGCAAAGCCAATGCAGTTGATGCGCTCTGCAAAGAACTGAACTCCGACCATTCCCGTCGGACCTACATCAGTCGGCTCAACAAGATTGGCCGGATGTTGCCGGAACCCATGCCTGCCGAGAAGATCCCATGGCATCTGATGCGTTATGAACATGTGCTGGAGATCAAGAACGCCCTGGACAAAGCCGGAGATTCGCCAGCCACAATCAACGGTACCCTCTCTGCGATCCGCAAAGTCACTCAAGTGTGTGTGCGGCTGAAGCGCATGGAACGTGAAGACATGATGGCGATCCATGACATCAAAACGATCAAGTATCAGCGTTTGCCCAAGGGGAGGGAGATCCGCGCCGGTGAGCTCGAGGCGCTGATCAGGGTCTGTCGGGAAGATAACAACGCCCCAGCCGGGTGGCGTGATATCGCCGTGATCGGGTTTCTGGGTACTGACAAGTTAAAATCTCCCGTGGGCCAATCGCTGACCGATATCCTGCTTAGGGTGCTGTAATCACATCCCAGGTTGCGAATGATCGAAGCCGAAATAGCTTGAAGTATAGTCTGCAAAGCGAGTGTCGGTGGAGGTTGAACAGGTTGTAGACTGCGGCATGACTTTCCAGAAATCGTTGGGCTTGTGTTATCGACTTGAATCGTCTGGTGCCTCGCTCACGAACTCTGGTTGGTTGATGTGAAAGCTCTGCTCGATTGTTGGCGTATTGTTCTGTGTTGTGCCTTATCTCAGGAGTCAGCGTTCGGTGTGCCACGCCGTAGCTCCTCAGTTTGTCCGTGACGATCTCTCTGGGTATACCACCTGATTTCAAGAACCGTTGGAAAAATCGTTTCGCTGCCTTGGCATCCCGCCGGTCTTGTAGATAGACATCTACGACTTCACCGTCTTGATCAACAGCGCGCCATAGGTAATGCTGTTTGCCACGGATCTTGACGAATACTTCGTCCAAAAAGAAAGTGTCGCCGTAACCCTGATGTTTTCGCCGCAATCGACGGGCGAATTTTGGACCGAACTTGTTCACCCAGAGTCGGATTGCTTCATAGCTAACAGAAATATTGCGCTGTGCGAGTAAATCTTCGACATCCCGAACGCTAAGATTGAAACGGTAGTAGAGCCAAACGGCGTGTTGAATGACAGACGGTGGAAATCGATGGCGCTTATAAATGTTTTTCATCCTGCTAGGTTGCCAGAGGTTCGCTTAACTTGTCAGTACCTTGTTGTTGGATACTCACTACTTGCGCGTATTGCTCGCACAACAACCTGGACCTCTACTGTCGCCTTTTCTTTTTGATCGACTTTCGGCTGAACGTATGCGTGCAATTGATGAAACGTATCAAGGGCTTCGCATGGATCTGGTTAATCTACTCAACCGTTGTGTCGATGAGGGATATGTCCGCGATTTGCCTGCGTTTGCGGTACAACCCATGATCACCGCGTGTGGTTTTTTGCCAATTCAATCTGGAAGAGGGAAACGATACGATCAAGTTGTTGAAATCCTGCTGACTGGAATAAGAAAACCTTAGCCACGTCCGATCGCTTCGACTTTGCCTGAACAGCGGATGGAGGACGTTTATCGAGTGTCAGGTCGCAGTCAGCCCCCCATCTATGAGAATCGACGTGCCGGTAATGAAGCCGGAGTCATCGGACAGCAGGAACGCAATCGTGGCGCCGTAGTCTGCATATGGGTCTCCCTGGCGGGAGATTGGCTGATAAGGCCGGCCACGCGGAAGTACTGCCGCAGGTGTTGTCTGTGCCTCCCGATCCTCGCGGGCATGAGCGCTGAGGTTGCTTTCAGCAACGCCAGAGGGCTGTATCGCATTGGCGCGAATTCCCTGCGGGCCATAATCCACGGCGATTTGTTTAGCCAATTGAATCACAGCGGCCTTCGAAACTGCATAAGATGCATTGGAGCCGGCGGGTCCGATAACCGATCCTGCAATCGAAGATGTGACCACATAGCTACCGCGGCCACCAGCAATCATGTGCGGAATGGCGTATTTGGCGGCAAGGAAGGCGCCGTTCAGGTTGACGTCTAATACAAACTGCCAGTCTGCCAGGGTTGTTTCGTGAATCCATCCAACGCCCGATGTGCCTGCATTTGCAACCATGCCGTAGAGACCACCATAGTGTGACGCGACCTGGTTTACAGCCGATTTGACCTGGTCTTCGCGGGTGACGTCGCATGCAACAGCAATCGCCTCTCCCCCGCTGGCTTGAATTTCCTGCGCCACAGATTGTGCGAGTTCAAAGCGTCGATCAAGAATACCAATTTTCGCGCCCTCCTCGGCGAGACGCCTGCAGGTGCCTTTACCAATACCGCTACCGCCTCCAGTTACGATTACTGGACGATCGTTAAGTCTTTGCATCACAGACATTGCTTTTCCTTGCGTTACCCAGCGGGTTCGATGTTGTTGAATAGCTGATATGGCTTTTCATTCCAGAACACTTCGCCTCGTGGCCCATCGGCTGGCAGGGTGGCGAGCATCTTTGCAGTCGGGTATGTCACCTCCGGCGATTGCATTTGAGGCATTGGTCGTCCCCAGATGGCGGTATTGGTTGGCCCGGGAATGAGCATGTTGATCAGGATGTCGACGTCCTTGTACTCTTGCTGAACCGAGCGCGTGGTCGACCAGATACCTGCTTTCGCGGCCGAATAAGCAGCATTTCTGGGGCCGCAGATCTCTGCTGCTCGTGAAACCGTGTTAATGATACGTCCGTATCCTGCGGCCAGCATGTATGGGAGCGCATAGCGCATACCATAGACGGTACCGAAAAGGTGGACGGCAATGTGCCGCTCGAACTCGTTCTTCTTAACTTCTGCAAAGGGTCGGTTGGTACCAAATCCGGCGTTGTTAAAGAGAACGTCGATCCTGCCGGTTTCTTGGATCGCAAACTTAACAAGTGCCTCGACGTTTCGTTCAATCGACACATCGGTGGAGAAGATGAGCGCACCACGTTGCTGCATTTCCTGCAAACCTGCTTCGTCAATGTCCGCGCAGATGACTGTGGCGCCGTCCTGCAAAAATCTCTCGCTCCAGGCCTGGCCCAAACCACTTGCGGCACCGGTGATAACAATCGTTTTATCTTCAAACATAAATTATCCCTCTTTTTGGTACAGAATCGGTAGACAGACGATATTCTCTGAGTCACGCTGATGCGCATGGAAATCAAAGTTAACGATACGGTGACCATCAGATATGACGTGATTGGCGGTGGCACTTATGACTTTCTGCTGTTTAATGGCGCAACTCTGCCGCTGGAGTTCTGGGGGCTGCTGGCCGAGAATCTTGCGACCATTGGCCGAGTCATTCGCTTCGACCAACGCAATGCTGGCGGAACGCAATTCGAAGGAGAATTCACTCTTGGTGACGTTGCCTCTGATGCGACCCGGGTGCTCAGTCACCTTGGTGTGCAGCAGGCGATTGTCATCGGCCACGCCTGGGGTGGCCGGGTGGCGCAGGTTTTTGCGCGAGACTTTCCAGACTGTGTGTCTCATCTTGTGATCATAGGTACGGGCGGTCAGTTTCCGCCGGTTGATATGTCCGAAACGGCCGCATTGGCGCAGCAGGCGCGTAAGCGTGACGATCGAACGACATGGGAGCACTACTTCGAGAAGCAATGGTTCGGTGCCGGATTTGCGAATCGGGAGCCGGTGGTATTTCACGAGGTGTCTGAGTTGCTGTGGCACTATCAACCACCCCGGCTGGCTCGTTGGAACGCGCGCGCTTATCCAAGCGGCGGTTACTGGGGGAGTGCGGAGATGCCGACATTGCTTGTTTATGGCAGCGAAGATAAGAATGGAACGCCGGAAAACGCTGCGGATCTTGAGCAGCGACTATCACATTCGCGTCTTATAACGATCGAAGGCACAGGACACTTTGTGGTGCGTGAAGCGCCGGATCGCATCCTGGCTGCTATCAGTGAGTTCATTGCTGAGACCGAGATTGCCTGAAGCATTGTCATGGTAGCGGAACCTCACGGCTTTCTTTTTCTCGAGCAGGGCGAAATACCTGCACTGCTTCAACTGACCGCTCCTGTTCCAGCCAGAATACTCCGTCATAGGGAAAGCTGTTACCGCGCGTACCAACAAAGTCGAGGTCGCCATCCTTATCCATGTCTTTGGCAACAAATGCGTCGAACATTCCACGAATGCGCCGGGATATGTCGTGACGCTGCCAGGCTTGACCTATGGTTCCGGGATTTTCGAACCAGGAGATTCGCCCTAATCGGCTCGTCAACGGCAGAACACCATCACGGTCTCTGGGGCCGCGGCTATAGCTGCCGGTGAAGAGATCAAGGTCTCCGTCTGCGTCGATGTCGCCCAGTGTCATGCCGGTTACGCTATCGGGGGAATTATTGCCAATAATATGGACGCGCCACGGTTCACTGAAGTCGGCTGGTTGTTGCAACCACACCGTATCGCGTTGACGGCTGGCTACGATATCCAGCCGACCGTCGCCATTGAAATCCGCAAAGGCCAGATTAAAGCCACCGATGCGCGGTTGGGTGCCACCGGCTTCTACCGGCACGTCGATCCGGTGTTCGATAAATTCAAGTGATGCGCTGCCGGTGTTCTCAAACCACATGAGCCTGCCTTCGCCGGTAGAACTCGCAACGATATCCAGATCGCCATCTGCATCGAGATCAACGGCCGGTGCATTGATCGGCCAGGCGACTCGTGTCAGTACATGTTCTTTCCAACTTTCATCCTGTAGCGGGCGACCATCAATTTCGAACACACTGATCGGATTTGGTTTTCGGCGTTCTTCTCCGATCGGGTTCTGTGCACCTTTGTTGACCGCGACAATCTCCGGGCGAGCATCATGATTGAAGTCGGCGGCGAAAACCCGAATAAATGAGCCTCGATCACGTGTTGCGCTGGGGCGGATCAGTTTCCAGGCTTTATTGCGGTCACCTGGGTTTTCCAGATAAATCAGATGAGCCAGTTCGCAGGCGGCGACAATATCGATCCAGCCGTCTCCGTTAATGTCTGCCAGAGCTACATCTTCCGCACCACCTGCATTTTCCCCCTCTGCCACTGTCTGGGAAAGCCACGATAAAGGGTCGGCTGAACCCCAGGCGATTCGTATATGTCCCGTCGGCTTGCCACTGTACTGATCTTCGAATTCAACACCGCCGATGACAACATCAGACTCGTGCACGGAGACAATGTCTTCGTATCCGTCACGATCCAGATCTGCCATTTCGAGTCCGTCACTGCCTGAAAAGTTAACGCCAGCAGTTAATGGGTCATCGATGATGTGCTCGCGCCAGGATATTAAGTTTCCATCCGCTGCGCGCGCTTGCGTAAGCTGCTCGCCGACACCGGGTCCGGGTTGAGTTGAGGCGCAGCCGAACGACAACAGACTTATGAGTGCAATCAGGATTGATACATTTTTTCGCAGTATGTGTTTACACCACTGTTGGCCAGCAGCTCGCATTGCTTTCCTTCCATTTATTTTATATTAGAGGATTCAAACGAATAAAGTATCTACATCGTA